GCATTTTCAATTCTTAACAGGAACCAGATTACACTTGCCGGTAGGGGACTAGTATTGCTAATGCAATACTCTCAGAATGCTTGTTTCCCTGGTATCGTTCTAAATGTGCTTAAATTTTTTTATGCTTTATGTCTTTATGTTTTTTTTGTAATCACATTTCTTGTCACAAAGTGCGTTTCTATTAACAGTAGATTTATTTGTATTAAATATGTGTAGACTTTCTTTGTAATCTTGATATTTAGACTTGCAGATATCATTAAACCAGGGTTTGTCATTATTTATTTTCCTTTTTGTATGTATCAGACCGTCAGTGACCTTAAATAAATAAAACTGTTTCATGGTTGATTTAAGAGCAAACGTAGCTTTGCGACCTTGTGTCGCTAATTGTTTTTGAGTAATAAAAAATTTACAATTATAATTAAACACAATGCCTAGATAAACAAAGTGGTCCACTATTTCTATATTTTCACCGTTATAAAGCCATTTCTCATTTGTGCGGACTTTCCCACCATTTCTAAACACAACAACGTTAGTTTTTGATACATTTACATGTAGATCCCACTCATGTGTATATAATTGTAGTGTATTTAACCTCGATAATTATTGGGGTCATCAGGGTCACCTTTCTTAAAAACAGGAACTATTACAGCATTAGACCATTGTGTTGGAAAATAGCCAGATGTTAAGATACGATTAAAAAAAATGTAAATATGGCAAAATATATCCTTGAATTCTATAAAGTGTTCATTCAAAATATATTCAAGGCCATGAGATATATCTCGTTTAAGACTATCTATAGCATCCGATTTTTCTTTTTCCGAAATTTCAATATCTAATTCTTCAAACACAGTATTTCCTTTGTCCACTGGGGTATCGTTATTCATATTAGTACTAGATGTAGATAAATATTCGAAATGCCTTCGGAACAGTTCCAAATCAATTGATGTTTGTTATCCAAATCATTGACGACCATATCAGGGTTTGTTCTACTTTGAATATGTGTATCTAAACCATAAAATAAAACTTCACCTAATTCTCTCAAAACATCATCATGTAATATATCATCCATTATGAAATCATTTGCGTTTGCGGTTCTTGCATTAGTGTCACCAATCAACATGACTTTCCCAAAATTCATATAATCAACAATTTTGTTTTCGAGATCACTAAATACATCACAATCATAAGTTTGGTAGAAAGTTGAACTGCTTGGTGGTATATACACACAGGCCAAATACATATCTTCAGGGCTTTGCAATAAACATTTATCAAGCTTAAGCCATATTATAGTGTCAAACATATTTTCAAGAAAAGATACATAGTGCTTAATTTTTTTACGAATTAGATAATACAACCACCTCCTTGTTTTGATTTTGAAAATTCTCGGTGAAAAACAAATCTATAAAATCCTTCCACATCAATAGAAAACTCCTTTTCAATCCAGCGTTCTGTTAAAAGGATAATGTCATAAGAGAGAATATAGCATCGAAAATTTTTATCACTGTATTTAGAAGAAAACCCTCCGTTTATGTTCCAGCTGATAATTTTCACAAAATCATTCTCCAATTGTCCCTAGGCCTCACCTCCCCAATTTCCAGCACCCTGCGTAAGTGTCTCCACGGGCTCGTCATCTTCTTGTTCATCTCTGCCAGTCTCCCCCATCTCTCCTTTGTACAGTTCACCATCGATGTAAAGTTTGTCGTATTTCATCACTGCTCTTTTGTTTTGTCCTAACGCCATCTGCAGAACGGGCATTAAGGATTTCCGCCTCTCGACAATTTCTCTAGGGAATTGATCATTGTAGTTTGTTTTTTTTAAGTTTGTATGCAGATGTCCTGACACTTTCCCTGTTTCTGAAGTTAGAGAATTTAACAACAATAGGTCTTGTTTTGTTATTGAGATATCTTTCGATCCTGTGGGCACGCTCAATGTTCGCCTTTATTCCATAGATATTCAGTTCCGCTTCACAGAATTCATTAATGAGGTTTGTACAGTTCTCCTTGCCATTTCCACGGTACTCTGCCAGTCCAAAAAAGAGTAAATTGTCTCTAATACTTCTTGCCTGCAAATCTGTAATTTTGCCTTGTAATTGTTCATTCACTAACTTCAATTCCCTAATTTCCTTCACCGTTTCCTGAACATCGCCTTTTAGGCACATCTGAGATTTCTTCATTTCCCTCATGGAGTTCCCCAAGTTCCCGGTAAACTTCTCCAGATGACCGACTCCAGTTTGGATATTTTCAATGCGACTGCAAAGGTCAAATCTTCACTTACTTTATCGATTTTGGAGATCTTGGTGTCAAGGTCGTTGATTCGAATCATGAGTTGATCTACCCATGCAGGCTGCGCAGTGTTCGAATGTGCAGACGGTGGTGTATTCATGAATGTGCCTTTGTCAACATGCCCGCCATTGACCACCCTTCCTGTTTTGGCTGATTTACTGTCCGGTTTAGGCGTGAAACCGTCTGAAGATAATCGTCTCTTATTATCCTTATTATCCTCCGACATTTTATGACATACACTGTTATCCTAATATCCCTCAGAAAAAAGATATATCACGGTTAAATACACAAAAATCTTCTCTCAAAATTTCCGACCGTCCATTTTCTAACGCATGCGCAGTAAATCTACAAAATATAAATGCCCTATAGCACCAACTGCTCAAAAGCTATGGCGAAGGTTAAAGGTATTCAAAAGTAGGTCAGTCTTCAAGGTCAAGATAAAATTTGTTGGTATTCTAAGGTTCAAAGTAAGGTCTTGTCGAAAGTGAATGTACCTGTGAAATTTGAAAGTCCTAATACTAACTGTTCAAACGTTATGGCCCGCCGAAATATGGCTCAAATATTGCCGACTCGGCGTTAAACAATAATAATCAATCAAATGTTATGGTCAATATGATTGTTTGTGTTGTTTTACTTCCCATTCTAGAATTTTTCACTCATATAGAGACGTCACCATGTACTGGTGAAGAGCTTCATATTTTGACCTTTACTCTGCACTCAGGGCATTTGAGCAGTTAGGGATCTTTATCGTACCAACGCCTGCCGTGACACGGATCCTAGGTTTTTAAGTCTCATCCGAAGGACCCGCAACTTTCACTTCAAAGTGCCGAGCGCATGGCGAAGGAACAGTTGCTACCTATTTTTTTTTTTTTATCGACTTAGGTCATTCGCGGCCGAGATTCGAACTCACGACCTTCCGATCACGGAGCGAGTGATCTACCGACTGAGCTACCGTGAACGGTATATGGCCAATATGAAAGTTTTTTAAAAGTTGGTCAAACTTTAAGGTCAAGGTCAAAAAGTCAAAAATATTTTCACTCGTGGAAATGTCTTGTCACAATGAATACACATGTGAAATATAAGAGCCTTAGCACCAACTGTTCAAAGGAAAGTTTGTCCCAAGGAATACACATGTGAAATATGAAATCCATGGCCCCGACCAAAAAAAGGTATGGGCAATGGTAGGTTTTTGCGGTCAAACAGATAACAGACAGACGGACAGGGCAAAAAATGTATACCCCATACTCTTCTTATTACGGGGGCATAAATATTTTCTCAAAAAAATGTATTGCTAAAAAGCACATTGAGCTTCTAAGGAGGTATTTTCCCGATGTCTTTCTGCTTTTTAAAGGGGCATAGATACAGATTTGAAGTTAATATTTTCTAAAATTTTCTATATAATATCATGACCCGGTGGAACGTAAACTGTTTTGTGAACAGGACACAAGCTCTTTTATTGTTAACGTTTACTTTTCACCAGGCGTGTTCAATTTTTAAACTCTGCACAAATCACTGAGCATGGACTGATAATACTGGCGAGTTGGTTTTGCTTTCTCACATTTCTACTCTGAATTTTCTGGATTATATCTGCAGAGCAGAGCGACACTTGGGGATCACTTTACCCGGCGTCTATCCGTCTGTCTAGCTGTCCGTTCGTTCGTCTGTCACACCTTGTTTCTCAAGAACTTTAAGAGATATGGACTTGATATTTTACACATATAATGGTTAGCACTATGGCTTTTGTGAATTGCCATGGTTACGACCTCGCGATCCTCGACCTTTGGCCTACTTTACAAAAAAGTGAATAGTGTCAATATAAAGCATATTTTTGCAATTTAAGAGGTAAGTCTATGCTATTTAGCATGTGCACTGATTGTCATAAAACATCTTGAAAAATACCAGCGTTACAATTTACTTGACCTTGACATTTGACTTACTTTGCAATAAAATACCCCGGACAGTTTAATTCAGCTTAAGTCTTTTGAATTTTGAGAGGCGGGGTGTTGATAATTAGCATTTATATATGTTAATGAGCTCATGATACTGTAAGTTGAAACTGTATGATATTCAGTTTACCACACAAACTGATATTCAAATACTACAACACGTCGGAATCGGTATCCCATAATAGATCGTGTAGACTGACATTTGGAGTATAGATATTGAAACACGTATTAAAACATGTAAAATGTTAAATAATTATTCATAATAAATTCAATTAACTTATTCATTTTAGGGCTTGGAATAATATTTTCTTTGATTTTCAGATTCTATCGCAGTCTAATACTATGCGTGGATGTTTTTTTCTGCATGAACTATCATGCTAGTAGTGAATACATAGCTAAGTACACTTGGATTAAATCTTTATTTTCATCTTTAATGAAGCTACAAAGCAGGCGACACATGCGTTCCTTGGAACACTCTAGTATTAAGGATAAAGTTTACTTTGTGAAAGTGCAAGGATGTGTCAATCAAAAGCGTCCCGAAATTCGTAGTTTCAATAATTTCCAGATAAAATAATTTTTTTTATAATATTTCCGTAAGAAATGCAATAGCAACATATTAGTCATGATATTATACAGAAAAGTTGAGAAAATATCAACTTCAAATCTGTGTCTATGCCCCTTCAATGTTCTGAAGCATGATTGATTTAATTTATATTTTCATAGGTTTTAAGATGAAAACAAAAAGTACAACGATGATAACATTGGTTTTGGTGTTAATAAGTTTTGGATTTTGGATTTCCGCCATAGTCACACCGAGCTGGGTCTCCTTGTCCCTTTACAGACCAGTACCAAACAAACCTCAAAAGGTACAAGAACAAATATAATTCTGTTTGTTGTCTTCGGTGCGTTGAATATTAGGTGAAAATAAATGGTGTTAACGGAACAAATTTCATGTTGTTCATTGTGGTTTTATAATAAAAAAAATACACTCCCTATCTTATAATTCGCAAGGTACACATCACCGCCATCTGATTGTTTCTAGATAGGCCACATCAACTTGCATTTCCGTCTGAAACTCCGTGAAATAATTTCCCTGCAAATCTATTCTTTCTGTTGCCAGTCTTTAGATGTCTCAACTTACGGAGAGTGCAATCAAAAGGGAGTATCTCACTTGCAAACATGAAAATTCTCTCGTCAAACTCGATCTACTACTTCAACAATCCGAGAAATCGCTTGCCTTATTTATGAAATTGTTCGTACATGCTCTTGCATAACGAATCAACCTGGAGACATAAACTCCAAATACAGGTGATAAGGGTAAATTGCTACATAAATAAGTGAAGTTGACGATAAAAAAGTTCCAGTCATCACGTTTATCATAAAGTTTTGTTGTTAAGTTACCATTAACGTCTTTCTCTAGTAAAATTTCCAAATATAAAACAAATGTGTCAGACTGGTTATTTTTTTTATTTCAAGTTAAGAGGAATATATCGAATCAATGTAGGAATGAAAATGAATATAGACTTGATCTCCAAAAACTACATAGATATTGTCAATCAATCGGAAATTCAAGCTTCATTTGATATCAACTTCGGAGTACTTATGTACGGAAGCCCATTTAGGACCTACCGAGTATCAAAAATATTTTTGGATTCGGTATAACGAATTGTCGAATTTGTTATAACGAATTTAATTCGCTTATTCAACAATCAGGGTCTATAGAAAATTATATATGAATAGGATATAATGATTTGTCGAACTCGTTTTACCTAATTTTAATTCGTTATGACAAATTAAAGAATTCGTTTAAACAAATTGATTCGTTATAACAAATTTTAGAATTTCTTATAACGAATTTAATTCGTTATAACTAATTTTAATTCGTTACAACGCATTTAACAAATTTGTTATAACCGATAAAATTCGTTATAACGAATTCAAAGAAATTGTTATAACGAATTAATATCGTTATAACAAAAACGAATTAAATTCGTTATGACAAATTCGACAATTTGTTATATTGAATTCAAATATATTTTTGATAGATCCTAAATGGGCTTCAGTACTTACGTGAAAAATGACAATGTTTTTTAAACAAAACAATTTTGCTAATGACAATGAATAACAAAATGCCCGTGGGCTACATCGCTCACCTGAACACTTTGCTTGGAGAAAGCAGAATTCAGTTTAGAATTGAAAACTTGAAAAATTTAAATGATCCCCCTACCCCCAGGGGGGAAGATTGAACAAACTTGCTTCTATATTGATATGACTAACTACGGATTTGTTGTTCCTGAGAAGATTTTAAAGTTTTTTCCCTATATCTTCCCAATCTTTGATTGCCTAATGTGGCCCAACCTACCCCAGGAGGTCATGATTTGAACAAACCTTAATATACACAACCAGAAAATGCTTCTGAATAATATGAATAATTTTGGCTCTGTTGTTCTTAGAAGATTAGAAGATTTAAAGATATTTTCTACATCTTCTTTTGTAACATTTTGACCCCCTGTTGTGGTCCCACCCACCCCTGCGGATCATGATTTCAACAAACTTGAATCTATTCTACCTGAGGATGGTTCTTTATTAATAGGACTAAATATGCATGGCTTTGCTGGTCACGAGAAGAATATTTTGAGGAGAAACCTTCATATTTCTATGCTTAACTTTCATCCCCTGTTGTTGCCACCCTAACACAATCCCCCTCCAAGGGTTATTATTTTAAAAAATATAATCTACACTTCCTGAGAATGCTTCTGTATAATTATGACTTATCATGGATTTACTGGTCATGAGAAAATTATTTTAAAAAGATTTTTTTCCCTATGTATTCCTGTATATAACTTTGATCCGCTGTTGCTGCCCTAACCTTACCCCTGGGTGATGATTTGAGCAAACTTCAATCTACACTACCAAAAGATGCTTTTGTACTCAATCTACCGGTAGTATGATTAATCATGGCTTAATTGCTTTCGAGAATTTTTTTTAAAGATATATCCTACACATTCCTTTGTTGTGGCCCCATCCTATGACGGGGAAGGGGGGGGGGGGGTCATGATTTGAACACAATTGAATATACCCTACCTGAGGATGTTTCTGAATTTATTTGACCTATCATGGCTTTGCAAGTCTTGAGAAGAAGAAAATTTTTCCTACATATTCTGATGTCAAACTTTGATCCCCCACTGTGGCCCCGCCCTACTTCGGGGGTCAGGATTTGAATAAACGTAAATCTACACTACCTGAGGTGCTTCTGAATTAATATTTGAATTAATAAAATATATTATATTAAATATAAATAAAACATTTGTACAGCACACTATTTATTAAAATTACCAAAGGGCGCTAAACAATAAGGTTATACTAATATAAATATACACCATGATAATTTTAATTAGCGACGGGTAAAAAATCTATAAATTTATTTCTCACAAATTCCACTTTTTGTTGAAGAGCTCGACCCACAGTATGAAGTGAGTGCATTAAAGGGGCTTAGACACAGATTAGACACAGATTTGAAGTTAATATTTTCTCAAATTTTCTGTATAATATCATGACTTATATGTTGTTACAGAATTTTACATGGAAATATAATGAAAAACTTATTTTATCTAGAAATTATGGACACTACGAATTTTGGGACGCGTTTGATTGGCACATTTTTGCACTTTCACAAAGTAAACTTAATCCTTAATACTTAAGAAAAGTAGAAATTTTGTTGTGTGTTAATGAAAAATATTAAAACTATAATCCAGAAAAATTCAGAGTAGAAATATGTGAAAGCAAAACCAACTCACCAGTATTGTCAGCTCGTGATTAGTGATGTGTGCAGAGTTTAACAAATTGAATACACCCGTGAAACGTTCACTGATTTTGTACACAGGGCACGAGCTCTGTTATTGTTAATATTTTCGTTCACGGTATGTGTTCAATTTGTTAAACTCTGCAGTGTAGTGTACGAAAGGGGGGGGGGGGGCATTTTTCTTAAAAGAATTTTCATTCGAATACCAGCTGGCGGTTTTCCCTATTTTCTTTCTATTTTTTTTTTTATTAATTAAGTTATTTTATTTACTTTTTTTCGCAGTATGATTGAGGCATTTCAGTAAAATTTAAAAAATACATTAGAGTTAGTCAGTGATGGATCAATGAATTTTTTTTTTCAAAGGATGTGAGGTGGGGGAACTATACCAACTCCAAAAAATTCCGTCTCGGAAATTTTTGGCAAGGAAAAAGACAGTTCCAACGCGAAAACCTAAGGGGGGGGGGGTGTTCATAACTTTTGAATGATATGCGTAAACGTGTAAGACTCCATCACTACTCAATTTTTTTTTAGTAATTTAAGGTATTTTCCTGACCAAAAGTTTGTTTAAAAATGCTATAGCAACTTAGTTTTCCGTCAGAATGTGATATAAATTGTGAATTCCACTCATATGTATATAAAATTGGAATAAATAATTGAATAAATAATTTTATTCTCAGCTATGTTAAGGAAAGAAATGAAAAATGCGATCTAAGTACCTTCTTAAAATGTATTATTTTTAAAAATCTTTATAACAAAGTAACTGTTTACATGTAGGAAAGGTAATATAGATATCCATAATGGATAGGTTTGGGTCCGCACACAGTACCATTTATATCGCATGTATCAGCTGTGTGTCACGTGACTGGTATAAAAATAGAATTGATAAGCTGAATGTAGAAAATGACACTAGTGCAAGGGCATACGCATGTTTTTGGAGAGAAAAATTGTTACACATTAAAAAAGATTTACATCGGCTACCCGAAAAGTGCTGGGAGCTAGTTTGAACTGCTTCGGAAATGCTCGTAATTTTGCTGAAAATGCGTACAATAGCTAAAAATTCCTACTTTGCTTTAATTCTGTCATGAATAAATATAATGCTACACCGACCATAATCAGCTCCCAGCACTTTTTAAAATATACATGATATATGCAATTGATATTCCGTATTTCAGCACAAACAGTGTAGTCTATGCCCTTGCACTTTTGAGGTTAATTAGGAATATAATTATCGTGTTAGCAATATTCTTGACATTCTCTGTCGTTGTGCGGCTCCATAGCACCTAGATAAAATAATAATCTACATATGTGTTTCAAATAAATTATTGACTTTCAATTTTATTGATTAGATTTAAACATTTGCGATGGTTTTATATTTATTTAAGCATTTTTGTAATTATTAAACCAATGGATCCACTCCTCTGGATCACTTGTACTGCGTCAAGTCAAGGTTAGTGACGTCATTTCTGACATAAGATTTGCTTCTAATTACTCGGCAGTATTGTTATCAAATGTTCTGATTTTACATTCTTTTATAAATAATTGATAAAATAAATGAATGCAAGTTTTCATTTATGCATTATCATGTAGTTAAATAGATTTTTGTTGCTTGTGAAATTTTTAATGACGTCACAATGAAACTTCCCATACAGTGCATCACAAATGTGAACTCAGGCCTTCCTTAACGTAGCTGAGTTTAAAGTGCACGTATAAATTTACATATAGAGAAATGGTGTACGTTTTGCTAATTTGCATAGCAGCAATATTGTTTTCAAAATGGCAGATTTTTGTTCAATGCATTGGATAAGGGAAAAAAAACATACATTAAAAAATATCATTAATTCGGAAGCACATAATGCTTACTGTGATAATTAGTCATGCGCGCATATGTACGTAAACATTACAACGTTTACATCAATTGTCCGTATCAATCCGATAAATTTGTGTTCTCTGTATATACCAACATGCATTTAAACGTATGTCTGATTATCAATCCCGTTAATATGAGACTATTATATAATCATAGTACTGTAGTTACATGTTTATGCATTGTCATAATCACCAGAA